CTTAAGGTGAAGGGGGGCTAGCGTAAACATGCCGCCCGCCTTGCAGTGTCGCTGCAATAAACTTAACTAGATATTTACAATTCATTTTTTTTTCTATTTCATTTTGCTATTTACAATTCATAAATTCATTAAAAAATTCATTTTTTGGATTTCAGGCCAATTGCTTCTGGTAGTCCACTAATAGATGGTGCCTCCCGAGATCATCCACCCGAACATTGTGTTCTGTGCCGTTGGTCGAGTGGGGGTGGCTGGCATGAGTCCCGGACGCAGGATCATTGCGTATATTTCGGCTCCTAGGACTAGTGATACGGCGCTAGATTTGTAAAAGCCCGGGTCGGCCAGCCGAAAATTGTCGAACTCGTTGGTAATCCTGGCATCCAGCGTGCGAGGGGGGGTTACCCGAGAGAGGCGTGGTTGCACGTCGGCGCAAATATCCAGCCTTTCATGCCACCCTTTGAGCGTGAGCCTGCACACATCTGCATAGCCCTGTGGCAAAACTCGAAGTTGGCGTGCCAGCTGAAGCGATATTGTCGACCTGGGCTGTGCTGGGTCGACGATGGCGCGCACTACTTGCGTCCTCCCTCGGGTCATTACCTTAACCGCTACTGTGGGTGTGAGGACAGATAGCCTAGGAGCGCTACGGGCCGTGCCCGTAATCCGGTCTCGGGCGTCTCTCACACCACGGCGGTGGGGTTGTTGCTGGGATCGCCGTTGGCGTCGGTGTGCGCCTCGGCGCTTCGACCTCGTTGCTGGGGCTCGCTGCACTACCGACCGGACACCCGACAGAGCAGGTCTGAATGCCGGCGGTGCACTAAGCTCGGGATCATCCCCCAATGCTTGTTGGAGGTCTTCTTCATCGGCGTCGATTTCCAGCACCTCACCTTCGTCGCTTGTTTCGGCTAATGGCCGGATGGTGTACGGGCGGAACGGTCGTCGCTGACGGATCTCTGGCTCGACCAATCCCAGTAGCACGTCTTCCTCATCTCGGGGCGCCTCGCCCAGGTGGAGAAGGCTATGGTGCCGGTCTCGGCAATGCTCACATTTTCGGGGCGATGCGCAATTCTTCGCCGTGTGATGCGGCGACAGGCAGTTGGCGCAGTGGCGGTGCACGAGGACAGCACGCAGTCTCTCGGCCGGTTCCATCCTGCGCATCTCGCGACAAAAAGCCAGGCGGTGGTTGCTGCGGCACACTGGGCAGCGGTATTGGCCCTTGTTAGCTTGGGTGTTGCTCTTGGTTGCACGTACCATTTTGCGTTATTGAGTTCTGTAAAGAGAGATACGATTATTATTTTGTTTTGTCAATCTGGCAAAAGTACCAATTTTACAATTGGTCGAGTTATAATTCCGCGTGCCGTTCGTATTTCTACGACTCGTACTCGGCTGTCCTGACCTGAAAAGACCCTAATTACTCTGCCAAGTCGCCATTCATTTGGGGGAAGGTTATCCTCTTTGACGACGACTAGATCGTCAACTTCGAGGTTTCGTTGGGGGGAGTGCCATTTCACTCTCTTCTGCAATTCCTTCAGGTATTCTGCTTTCCACCTTCTGCAGAATGTCTGGTGAATCGCCTTGATCTTTTGCCACCGGTTGACAATAGACATCGGGTTCTCGTTAATTTCGGGTTCAGCGAGTGCCAGTAGCGGGGTGCCAATCAAAAAATGTCCTGGGGTTAAAGGTTCCATTGATTCCGCGTCTTCCGAGATGGGGCTGATTGGTCGTGAATTAAGACAAGATTCGATTCTTGCCAGAAGCGTGGAGAGCTCCTCAATGGTAAAACGCATGTTGTTCGCTACCTTCCTGAAATGCATCTTGAAGCTTTTTACCCCCGCTTCCCAGAGCCCTCCCATGTGAGGTGCTCCTGGAGGTATAAAATGCCACGTAATGCCCTGATGAGCGTATGTCTGAGTTGTGCTGTTGGCCGCTGCAGTGACAAAGAGCTTAAAATCCTGTTGCAATGCCTTATTCGCCCCTACAAAATTGGTTCCATTGTCCGAATACATATTTTGCGGGCAGCCGCGTCTAGACACAAAACGCGCAAAAGCTGCTAAAAATGTGGCGGTGGACAAATCGCTGGTGGCCTCCAAGTGTATTGCCTTTGTCGCAAAACAGACGAAAACGCAGACATAGCCCTTGGTAATACGACAAGCTCGACCCGTAAAACTCCTTATCTCAAAGGGCCCGGTGAAGTCGACTCCAGTGTTGGTGAAGGGTCTGGATACCTCAGTCCGTTCCGGTGGTAACGCTGCCATCAACTGCTCCCGCGCCTTCTTTCTGTAAATAACACAGACCTTACAGTTATGAACTGAATTTTTAATCACGTTTTTCATTCGCACTATCCAGTATTCGGACCGCAAAATTCTCAACATGAGCTGGTTTCCTCCGTGCAAGGAAATCAGATGTGTGAATTTTACGAGCAATCTTGAATACTGGCAGTCGTACGGGAGAATTATTGGATACCGTTCACTGTAAGGTATGTTCGTTAACGCCAGTCGTCCTCCTACCCTCATTACTCCGTTCCTGTCGAGGAAGGGGTTGAGAGCGCGAAGTGAACTTTTCGCGTTGATTGGCGTTGAAGCGATGATGGCCCTGTATTCATCTGCGTAGTGACGCCTCTGTGCAATAAGGATGAGACGACATTTTACCTGCTTTACTTCATCGGAGGTTATTTCGTCTGTCTCGTCACTAGCGGCCAACTTATGCACCGGATGAGTTTTTCTAAAAAATCGGAAAACTCGCGCAATTACTCTCATGGCTCGCGAGAAGTCTGAAAATCGCTCCAGAATGTCCATTTCCTCGGAGATGCCTGCCGCATGAGCCCGTACCGGTTTTTGCTCCAGGTCGGTTTCTAATGGATTTCTATTGCCTTGGTGGGGCCAAGTAGATGAATCTTGCTCCAGCCACTTAGGTCCATACCACCACAGAGTGCTTGCGAGTAAATCCTGGGGGGACACGCCTCGGCTGCCAAGATCCGCTGGATTATCAGCAGAGTCCACATGGTTCCACCCTGACACTCCAACCAGCTCATCAATTTTTGCGACTCTGTTAGCTACAAACGTTGTCCATGTACATGCCGGTTTCCTAAGCCACGAGAGTACGATCGTGGAGTCGGTCCATTTGTATATTACTGGCTGCGTGACTTCAAACTGCGGAATAAAAGTATTAATTAGTTCGGCCAGTAATAATGCTCCGCAGAGCTCTAACCGGGGGAGAGACACCGTTTTTACTGGTGCTACTTTTGTTTTACCAACCAACAAGTTTATGTGGGGCGCATTGTTTGATGCGCGATCGCGTACCCTAATATATAGTGCGGCTGCATATGCCTTTTCAGAGGCATCGCAGAATCCATGGAACTCCACTTCGTCCCATGGCGTAAAATGGGTCCATCGGGGGATTTTTATCTTCTGGATATGCTCATAGTTATCCAGAAAGGTCTCCCAACGTAGCAGTAAATTTCGGGGTAGACTGTCATCCCAGTCTATTTTGGTTAGCCAGATCTCCTGCATGAAGATCTTTGCCACCACTACAATTGGTCCGAGCCATCCAGCTGGATCGAACAATTTTGCTACGCAGGATAAAACCTCTCGCTTGGTATACTCCTGCTTCCGGGGGATCGGCTGTACTGTGAAGTGAAACATGTCATGTACCGCGTTCCAACGGATTCCCAACATTTTTGTCTCACTCATGTCGTCAAGCTCCAGGAAATTCTCCTTGTATATGTGCGCCTTGGGTAGTCCTGCCAAAATCTTCTTACAATTCGAAGTCCACTTTCTTAGTGGGAAGCTGGCGGTGTTAAGAGCTTCAATTACCTCATCTCTCATTTGTATTGCAGTTGTGCAATCGTGGGCTCCAGCTAGGACGTCATCGACATACATATACTGCTTCAAAATCTTTGCTGCCAGTGGAAATCTCGTTTTCACATCATCTGCGAGCTGGTGTAGCGTCCTTATTGCCAAATATGGAGCGCAGTTTACTCCAAACGTCACGGTCTTAAGTTCGTAATCCTTAATTTCTTCGTCCGGGGATTCTCTGAAAAGAATTCTTTGAAATGGGGTATGCTCCTGATGGAGCATAATTTGCCTATACATCTTCTCGATGTCTGCATTAAATACGTATTTGAATAAGCGCCACTTTAAAAGTAAGCAAACCAAATCCGCTTGCAGAATAGGCCCGGGGTATAATATGTCATTTAAGCTGACTCCATTTGACGTGGGACAAGACGCGTTAAACACCACTCGCACCTTCGTTGTTATGCTGTCCGGTTTCACGACGGCGTGATGTGGTAAGTAGTATGGCCTGTGTGCTGGTTGTTGCGCTGTTTTCCTCACGGGGCACATATGGTTGAGCTCGATGTACTCCTTCAGAACCCGGTCGTATTCCGTTTTCAACTCCGGTTTCCTGATATAACCGGCCTCGCTGCGCAAGAATTGCCGTGCTGCTCCAGTCCTTGAAAGGCCGAGGTTAATTTCGTCTGGGAATTCCCGACGAAAAGGTAGAGCCACCACATACCGTCCTTGCTCATTCCTCGTGGTCGTCTTAGCGTACAACTCCTCACAAAACGCATCTTCGGGGGTAATTTTCCTTTTGGTGGAAACTTCTTCTAACTCCCAAAACCGAGTTAGCTGGGGGGTTGGAGTTTCTGCGCCGTAAGACACAGAAGTAGTGAAACTCCTCGTGGTCGTTGGTGGTATTGGTCCCGTCAAAATCCAGCCGAACACCGTTTCCTGCGCTACGAGTGACCCCAGAACATTACTTTGGACCTTGTCCCTTATGACTGCTGGGTAAACATCCGCTCCGAGAATTAGGTCCACTTGCTGACTCCTGTAAAAATTGACATCGGCTAGCCGTAAGGGGGGCAGTGAATCAAGATGCCCTTGATCCACTGTAAACTTCGGGAGGTTTCCTGTTAATTGGGGTAGAACCAGACCTCTTGCCTCGATTCTAAACTGGGGGGTTTATAGGAGAACCTATAGCCAGATGCGCGACTTTTCGCACATTTGCCGATACCGTGGCATTTATGCCCGATACCTGCGTATCAACCGCACGCGTTGGCAGCCTGATGAGTCTCTGTAGTCGCTCCGTGATGAAAGTTCCCTCTGATCCAGAATCCAGTAGGGCTCTGGCCTCATAGTTAACTCCTGAGTGGCAGATGTTCACCATAGCAGTACCTAAAAGAATGTTCCGGTTGCTCGCCGCAAAAAGCGCCTGCACATTGCTGGTGCCTGCGGGGGGTTGCTCAGATCGTGAGTCCTTGTTCCTCGGGGGGGGTCGCTGTTGCGAAGAGTTGGCCTTCTGTGGAGCTAAAGTTCGATGTAATAGTGAATGATGCCTCTGGTGACAGCTCCAACAATTAAACGGACTCTTGCAATCCTTCGCGATGTGTGAATGCGCTAGGCAGTTCATACACAAATTGTGCTTTCTGACTAAGTTGAGGCGATCCTCAACTTTCATTGCCAGAAATTTGGGGCAGCCCTTTAGAGCATGAGATTGTTCGGGGCATAATCTGCATGCGGGCTGCGAAAACTGACCGTGGTGTGCCGATACCTTCCTTTCGTACGTCGCTGCGGGTTGGCGATTAGGTACAGGCTTTACTGCGCGTGCACTTCGGATATCGGACACCGTTTCTAACGTCTGGAACCGACTTGTGAGAAAGCTGTCTAATTCCTCCCACTTTGGAATTTCCGCCTTTCTCACAATGCCTTGTTCCCACAACGCCAGCGTGGTATCCGGTAACCGACTCGATACTAAGAACACAAAGATCGCATCCCAGTTCTCAATATCAATCCCGTACATTTCTAAAACGGATATACAATTATTAACTGCCCGCTGTAAATTTTTAATTTCCGTCCCGCGTTCACTCGTTACCGATGGTAGGTTAAAGAGCGTTTTTAATTGGCTATTAACCATTATCCTCTTATTTTCATAGCGGTCGGATAAATTTTGCCAAGCAGTCGCGAAACCGTCGTTAGTCAAAGGCGATTTTTTTACGATATCTTTCGCTTCACCACGGGTCTTTTGATTCAAGTGGTACAATTTCTCTACCGGGGTCAAACGCGAATTGTTAATATAAATTGCCGTAAACAAATCGCGGAAAGATGGCCACGACATGTAATCACCGTAAAAAATTTCTGTGTCACATGGAGGTAAATGGATACTCAAGCGGGCTGGGGGTTCAATCTCGCGATTTACCGGATTAACTGTCGAACTACTTTGCTGCGTGAACGTCAGGTTATGAGCCGTCTCTCCCATCAATGCGCCGCACGTCAAGTATGCTGAGTAGCAATCCTGATATCTGCACTTCGCCAGCCGAAGTACAGCCTGCCCGGTTTCGTCGTCCGACACCTTTTTCGAGTAGTCATCGAACGCATCCTTCACCTTGACCCAGAGCGCCTTCAGTTCCTCCTTTTGGATCTCCAGTGAAAAAATGGAATGGCTGCTACACGGCATGTTGTTGAAGCCCGCTTCGAATTCCAACAATGCATCACACGCCCGCGAAAAATCATTAACATTGGCCATCTTTCGAATATTAATTTAATTAACACGAAAAATTTAAAAACAAACGTCAATTGTACTACTGAACCTCGAGGTAAATTACTATTTTCGCGAATTATCGACAACGACGTCAAAAAAAATTGATAAAACAACGTACTATCAATTAATTTAATTAAAGCGAGAAATTTAAAACAAACGTAAATTGTACGATTGAACCTCGGGGGTATTTACAATTTATACGCAATAAAAAAGTCGTGGAAAAGGTGTATAGAAAAATAACTTTCTTTAATATATTTAACCTTCAGTTAATATATATACAAACTATATTCAATTTAAATTTTATTTATTATGTCAAGCAAAAAAAACTTTATTATGGCTCGCAAAATTTCACGGGTTATTTGTACTAAGCTTATATCAAAAGAGTTTTCTCTCAGTGTACCGCACAACCTGAGGGATTCTTTGGTGAACAAAAATTTATATAATGTGGTCCGTATACGGGCCTTCTGCCTCAACCACTTTTTCTCAATACTTAAAAAATCACGCCAAACACTTCAAAGGTGGCGCGGTATAAAACGTAAAACTGTAGAAAAACTCAGAAAAAGTTTGTAGGAAGTCTTTATTTAATTTATACAACAACAAAGAAGCTAAACAAAATTCAATAATTGAGGTTGTCGAAACTTAATTTGATTTTTGCTCAAAACACAAAAACAAAAACACTTTTTTGTAACGGACGCTGAGTCCCGCAATTCGTGGCACAATTTCACCTTCTTTCTTTCCTTTTTTTATTTTTTTTTTATATATATATAAACACAACGGTGTGTGGATACGGTAACCCAAAGGAATTTCCGCTATTCCTCCACCACTTTACCGCTCGAATTTCGCGAAAAGGAACGGATTATCCTACCCCGATACCGTTTAAATTTCGAAAATGTATACGTATTAAAAAAAAATATATATGTATATATATACTTATATATGGAAGGGGTGGCTCTGGGACTCACGCACGACCTATTGCAATTTTCGCACCCCTTTCCCAGTCGTTTAATAGACGTGGCAAATTGAAAGGCTTACCTTATCTTACAGCTTACTCTGTTGCCACTAATGGGGCTGTGCTCCCGCGATGGGCCACTTGGTGGGGGCCTTGCTGTTTAATTTGCTCCCGCGGTGGGCCACTTGGTGGGGGCCTTAGTTTGGCGATGTTGCTCCCGCGGTGGGCCACTGGTGGGGGCCTTGCGTTTAATTTGCTCCCGCGGTGGGCCACTTGGTGGGGGCCTTGCTGGTGCGAACTTTCTATCGCGGTGGACCACTTGGTGGGGGCCTTTAAATTGCGTGTTGCTCCCGCGGTGGACCACTGGTGGGGGCCTTGCTGGTGCGAATTTGCTATCGCGTTGGACCGCTTGGTGGGGGCCTTGTTTCGCACTGAACGCCTGACTGTATGGCACCTAGTGCCGGCGTTCAGCACTTGCGCCTCCTCAATGGCAATACAGCCGGCGCTCTTACTAACTATCGGCCGCTGGTAGGGGCCGTGCAGCGAGGCGCACTGACGCCTGACGGTATGGCACCTAGTGCCGGCGTTCCGCACTCGCGCCTCGACAAATGGCAATACAGCCGGCGCTACTTTTAACCTCACTGCACTTCACTTTCACTTTCACTGCACTTACTCTTTACACTTACCGCCGGAGCCCTGGCGGTATTTGTGCTGCTGCTTTTCTGGAGCGCTGGCGAAATTATTGTTGCAGTTGCTCCTGCAAATAAACACAATTAGTACTCCAAATATACTTACTATTCCAATACTTATGTATTTCGCCGCTACTCCAATTGTTGGGGCCAAATGTGTTGCTCCTGCTCCAGGTGTAGAAAAAAGGTGCTCCAACCAAACTGTCGTTCACTCACCTGGTCTTCTTGATGGTATTTACAAAGAAATACCAGAGAAAAGATTTGTTGCCAAAAACGTGTGAATTTGCTAATTGATTTATTTTTTTTTTGGTTATGTTTTTATTTTTCTTAGGGTTCGTTCGGAAACGTCAAACTGTTGGGGGTATTCACCAATGAATATAATAAAAACCAAAGATGGTGGTCGGTTTCACGGATGAATGCAATATAAAAGTTGTTTGATATGTTTAATTGCACACGATTCGACGTGTACAAGAAAATAAAAAGCGTGTTAACGGGGGGCGCGATAAAAATTCTCCTTTATGAAGGCAACTTGGCAGTTTATAAAAAATGTTTATTTCTTCGAAGTTTTATCACTTTTATTTTATTTTTAAGCAAATGTGGGTCAACCACGAAAAACTTCAAGCCTATCCGGCTCGAAGGACCATGTTCGGGACGGGGTGATTTGGGGGCCGGGAATTCCTCTTGAATTCC